TCATGGAGCTAAATTTACCAGAAGATGCTGCTTCAACATCATTTCTCTTGGAATCCCTGAAATGAGGAACTATCTTAATGGCACCGCGACTAGCGTTGGCATGGTAATCTGCAAGGGCTAGTAAGATAGATATGTTCATTACTTTTCCCACATTTGTTTCCAGATCAAGAATTATGCCCACATCCACCTCTATAGCACTAGTTTTATTATCTTCACCTCTTATTTGCCTTGCATAGGAGCAAAAGCTAATGATGGAAACAAGTTGAATGAAAAGAATTAGAAAGCTGCATCTTGGATTTTGCATTTGAAAAACTCTGGTAAAAAGTAGTCTGAGAGTTGGGCAAGAAGCAGTAATCACCTTAAAGAGAAGTGTCTAAAGCTCTCTTAACTGTGTTGCTCTAGATATAGGGCTTCAGTATCAGGGGGCTCCATAAACTTCTACCAGCAAATACCTTAGCTATGAATGTAGAAACAAAAGTCAACGATAATGTTTCAAAGAACATTAATTGAAAATATGCCTTTTGGTTATTGAGAGAGAAGACTTATAGCTACAACAAGTTAGTAAAGCTTCCTCCTAAGTTTGACCAAATCAAAAAAAAAATTGAACTGAGTGACAAAATTGATTTGGTTGACTTATTCCCCCAATCGCTAATTACTTTTTATTCTATTTAATGCTGACTATCTAGTAGGTGAATTTCAGAAACAGCTCAGCTTAGACTTGGTCAGTAGTAATAGCTTGCACACCAACATGCACCTCTCTGACTGGCCAATACTCCGAGATGGCATCAAGTATGAGAATGAGGATGCAATTAGATGTCAGAAGTAATTAACTTGGACGGTTGGATTTTGAGATGATTATGTATGTAGCTGCCGATGCCATTGCCTTACTCTAATTGTTAATGCAAGAGGAAGCTGCTTGGGAACTTACCTATGGTGTCAAATTGAACATATTGCTGTTTGTCTTCCAAGCAGTAGTGATCCTAAAATCTTTCATTATGTTCGATCCATAACTATCGTCTTTATCTTTTTGATGAAGGATCCATAACTATGGTCTCTGTCTGCTGTTGATAATCTTATCTACTAGGCACCTGCATTATAAGTTCAATACTATTAATTATCTGTAGCTCTTTTATTGCTATATTATCTCATAAACCTCTCTATATACCCCATTCTTTCATATTTTATGCAGCAATATTATGTAATCTAAAAATAAGTTGGCATCTTATGTGCTAATTTCTTTTTTTGTTCTATTTTTTAACATAAACAAAGATACTACTTCATTTGAGTTTCTTAACAATGAATGCATGCGTTGAATTATTTCATTCCACAGAACTCTGTTAAATCATATCCCCTAAACAGATGGTGATGGCATAAAAAAAAGAAAAATAGTGTTTCTACCATCTTTCTCTAATTGTACTTTTTTTTTCTCAATTTGCAATATTTTTGGTTTGTGCAAACATTATTTGCAGATATTGAATGAAAATTGATACTGTTATATATGAGCTTATAAAATACGTTTAGTTTTTACTTGACACTGAGTTTAAGAAAACAGAAAAACTTTTGAATCATATGCTCTTGAATCAAGGATATGTCAAAATGTATGGGGAAAAATTGAATTAAGGGGTTGCAAACAAAGGAAAGAAAGCATTCTTTTTTTTTATAAATGAGCTAAATATGAAAGTGGACAAAAAAATTGAAACACAATGAGTAATATGATTATGTGATAATGGGATTAGAATGTTATTGTTACCAATTTACATCCCTAAACAGAGGAGTGAAGAAAATGCATACCAGAGTTTCTCCCCGTATCATTAAATCCATCATGCCGCCGCCTCTTACTTATTCACGGCAGCACTACCCTATTCCAGGCAAGGGCACCGGCTTCGGAAATGCAACAAAGGCCCACCAGTGAACTTTACACTGCGTTCGCATCCCAGAGGGACTGAAATTCTCCTGGATGTTGATAACCCTAAAGTTATATAACATGTCATGCTCGAGTATATAATCGATGTTCCTCTACGAGGCCGTCCTTTCTGATCGATGTAAGCCGCCGTCAAGCCAGATTCTTTCGGGGATCTTGTACCTCCCTCCGGCCTCCACCACAGCCGCAACATTTTGCACAGATAATCAACTCTATGCGGGAAGTGAAAATTGCGGATTTTTTTGGAGCAATACGGATTTGTGATTTGTCAGTCAGTAAAACGTATCAGTTCCATGATGAGTCCGAGAGAATCAACACAGATCTGAATCAAAATCAGCAGAATGTATGTGGATATGCAGAGGATATAAGGTGATAAAAGCCGAGTTTCATCTAAAACTTATACCAAAAACCCAGCAGATTTGTCATCATTGTATGGAACAGAGACATAAAGCTTGAAAATGATTATAAATGCAAAATGATATTGTTGAAATACAAGACTCTTAATAAAAAATGTCTTTATTTCATTAAGAATATTTTTGTAATAAGTAGCTTAGGTTAGTGGAGAATATCTTATTTTGATATGATGATTTTTTTAGTGAATTTGAGTAATAAAAAAATGATGATCAAATTGTGCTTGCGTATCTTAATTATAGGTTTTATTCCAATAATTATAGGTTAAATAATTATTGATTTTAGCTTTAATATAATTATACTTATCAATTATTCTCCGTCATATGTGTAACTTTTTATCTTTTTATTTTATTGTTCTTGATTTTAAGGTTTCTTCTAGTTTCGTTTTTTCTTATTGTATCAATGTTATCAATTATTTATTTTAGGTGAAAAATTTTATTCTAAGCAAAGTACAATCAATAAAATTTGTACGAGAGTCCATTAACTTTTTGGCATGTGAATTATTGGGCCTAACCTGTTAGTTAAGGCTGAAAAATAAAATCAAAAGGAGAGAGAATGTATAGTTAGGGTGGAAATCGAAGAGAAATCGTGGATTCACGTTAAATTCAATTAAATAATTTAAAATATTATATTAAAAGTGAAATAATGCAGTAAAAAGTAAGGAAGAAAATAAGTTTCATTAATTTACTATTTTTAGAAATAAAATATAAGAAAAAACGTATACAATAAATATAATAATAAATTTTGTACCCATATCGAAAGTGCCCAAATTGAAGTTTCATTAATTTACTATTTTTAGATATAATATAGTAAAAAAAACGTATTCAATAAATTTAATATAAATTTGTACGATTTAATAGAAATATAATAGGTAGAAATTTGACTATTTTGCTCAAATTGAAATGAAACTTGTACTATGTTATTATTCATTTAACATCATTGAGATAAAAACAATACTCTGATAATATGCTCATTAGATCATGAGATACTTTTAAACTTTTCACTTTATTACGATTTTCAAATTTCTTTTTTTCAATTCATATACTAAATATTTATTTTTTTAAATAACGTGAGTTTGAAGACAATAAAAAAAATACATTAATCTTATTAGAACTATTATTAAAAGTAATGTAAATCTTTAAAAAAATAGAATATAATATCTTATAGTATAAGAATAATTTTTTTGACAAAAATTCAGCATGTTAAAATAAATGTGAATATAAAATATAAAATGAAAATATAGATCAGCTAATAATATGATTTCTTATTTCTTTCGTTACTTTTTACTGCACTATTTCACTTTTAATACAATAATTTAATTTATTAAATTAAATTTAACATAGACCCCACAATTTCTCTTCAATTCCCGCTCAAACTTTACATTCTCTCTCTTTTGATTTCATTTTGGGATTTTTGTATATAATAGCAAATTAATAACCTAAAATAAATAAAGTAGTTAGGATTTGATTTAATTGTGCTCCATAGCAAATGTTAGCTAAAGTTTGTCAAGCGTCTCTCTCTCCAAAATCTCGCTCGCCACTCTCCATTCTCGCTCGCCTCACTCGCTTTATACACAGAAGTGTATAAATTCTTAATCTGTTTTGTATAAAGCGAGAGAAAATTGTATATACACATGCAAGAATATATATCTTCGTGTTATACACTTAATTATACAATTTACAAACAGTTTACTTTAAATATTACAGAGAAAAAGGCCAACAAATTATATAATTGCAAATTATAAAATTGCATTAATTACAATTTTCTCTAGCTTTATACAACAGAAATGTATATATTGTGTTTCTGTTTTTGTAAAAAGCGAGAGAAAAACATATATCTTCTTGCTATACACTTATAATTATGCAATATACATACATTTTAATTCGAGTCAACTGTATGCAAATCAAATTTTATAAAAATATTGCAGCGAAATAGGCAGCGAATTATACAATTATGCATTATACAATTGCAGTGAAATAGGATAACAAATTATACAATTGCAACGAAATAGGCCAGCGAATTATACATTGTATATGTATAGCGAATTATACAGTTTTATATTTGCTATGGAGTGCAATTATGCGAATTTTGCTATAGCATACAAATATGAATTTTTTGTTTGCTATATGTGAAAGTTGCCCTTTCATTTTTCACCTTAACTGACAGGTTGGGCCCAAATAATTCACATGTCAAAAAGTTAATGGACCCTCATACGAGTTTTTGTTGTTTGTACCACGCTCAAAATAAAATTTTTCTACTTTAGATTGTTACTTCTCTATCTTTAGAGTTAAATTATAAAAAATTTGATTAATATTTTAAGATATAATTTTTCATCATATTGATATGAAAAAATTATAATTTATAGTATTTTTTTACATAGTTTTTAAATATTTAATTTTTTTATTTAAAATATCGAATTAATGTAATTGGCCGAATTATAATTGATGACATGGCTGAATTATAATTAGTCATGTGTTACAAACGGTTTTTTCAAAATCACTTAAAAAATAATGACATGAATGAATTTTTTATTTAACGATAATAGTATAAATAAGCCTGAAAATTGAATGGCATATCCTTTCCTTTTAAAAAATTATATATTTTTTTAAATGAACTAAAATGAGAAACAAATTGAAACACACGGGTTAAATTCTGAACTAAACCCACACCCCACCTTGTGGGGCAACCCGTTACCCGTAACTCTCTCCCTCCCTCACGTTTCCATTTTCAGCTATCACTCCTTCTTCTCTCTTCTCCCCGGCACCAACTTTATCGTGCATGCAAATTATCAACGTTTTAACCTATCAACTTCATTTTTCTTCCGCATTAACATTAACTATATATAAAATTTCAAGTTTCTTTTAACTATTCCGATCCGCCATTAATCTATTTCTTCAGTCAGCTTTACTGACCATATATATATATATACATATTTGGATCATCCATCGGTATAATTGTTTCTATACAAGAGGATTTCGCAGATCGTCCATATCTTTATCCTATTAAGCTATCAAGAGGATTACTCTTTTTTTTTTCTTTTTTTTTATTCGAGTTCAGACACAGAGACGAATTTAGAATATAAATTTGATGGATCAACTTTTTAAGTTATGACTATTGAATTGAATCCATCTGATCACATTATGAGTTCGAAATTTAATGCTATATTACTATTTGATAAAATTTCGCGTTAAAATATTGGGTTCAGTTGAACACGATTAGGAGGAGGAGAAGGTGGGGCAGGATGAGCTTGGTGGTAAAGGTGGCTCTACTCTTCTTCATTTTTAATGGCTGTAGCTTCATCAATGCAGACACAGATCCATCCGACGGTCAGCTTAAGTCTAACTTGGTGTACTGCTTTTTTTTTTCCGGTGTTCGGTATCTGCTTTGTTGTCTTCCATTAATTCGACTCATTATCGGGGGAAGCAATTCCTACCTGTAATTTTTCGTTCTTAAAGCTCAAACCCGAGAACTTTTTACAACTAAGCTAGGTTGCTAATTTTCACTAGAAAGCCCGTCGATTAGCCAAAGAGTTCACAGCATACAAAAAAATAAAATCATAGTAGTAAAATTTAGTAACAAAACAGTGTAGAGTTTTGTTTTTTTTTTTGGGTGGGGTGGGGTGGGGTTGTTCTTAGTATGTCTATGTATTTGTATGTTCTCAATAATTTCGTTGGTGGTGTTCAACTTTGATTATCAGGTTCTGCCCTGAGAGTGATGTATAGCTCCCTAAATTCACCGGGGCAGCTTACGAAATGGAGCTCATCAGAAGGTGGTGATCCTTGTGGAGAATCCTGGAAAGGCATTACTTGCTCGGGCAATAGAGTAACTGAAATGTGATTATGTTCTCTTCGCCATCCTTCTATAGTATTTCGATATAGACTATTTTTTTATTACTTCTCGTTAGTTAATTGATTTGGAAATTGCTGATTTTCACTTTTCGTTTCATTTTCCTTCAGCCAGATATCCGGTTTAGGACTATCCGGATCAATGGGATACCAACTAACGAGTTTAACATCTGTAACCAACTTGTAAGATGATCGATGGCTTCAATTACTATTTTGTTACTTTGTTCTGTTATTTGTATTTACATCGTAAAATGTTGTAATTTGCAGTGACTTAAGCAACAATAATCTCGGAAACCAGATACCTTACCAGCTTCCTCCATATGTAAAGAGACTGTATGTGTTTTTATACCTAATGTTTTCTTTCTTTGCTCAATTCCAGGCTCTAGTGTTTTAAAAAAGTTACTTACATAATCATTCTGTCATTTGCCTCGTATTGCAGCAACCTTGCTGGTAATGGTTTTACCGGTGTCCTACCTTATTCCGTTTCACAAATAACTTCCCTTCAATACTTGTAAGTTCATTGTTAAAATTAAATTTACTTGTATAGTGTTATTACACTCGTTGTTCTGATTTTCTCTCCGTTGTATGTGCCTGATTGTAGAAATGTTAGTCATAATCAAATTCAAGGAGAACTAAATGACATGTTTGGATCACTTTCTTCTCTCAACACATTGTAAGGCCTTGTTTCAATTTGTCCCGTCTCTTTTTCAGATCGTTGTTATCCTGTTATGACTAAGATTTCAAATGTATGTTGTGCTATTCTCGGTAGATAAATAGAGTATCCCTTCACTTTATCATGTGAAATTTTGTCACCGACTGAAAGCATCTTTTGTTCTTCTTGGTTGATTACATTATGTTTTACCCTTGTTGCTTACGTTTGATTATTTACAACTTATCCTCCAGGGATATCTCTTTCAATTCAATGACCGGTAAACTTCCTCAAAGCTTTAAGTCACTGACTAGCATGAAGAAAATGTAAGACGTGTATCTTTTGATTCATTATTGTACTGTATTGGTCGAGTGCCATGAACTTTCTAGTATTATTGTGTTGTGCAGCTACCTGCAGAACAACCAGTTCACTGGAAACATTGATGTCCTCGCCAATCTTCCTCTTGGCGATCTGTGAGTTATGCAACATCTTTGTGTGTGTGAATGTTATCGATCTGTCAATGTTCCATTTCAAGGCTTTCTCAGTTACTATATTGTTGATACCTTTATGCTTTAGGAATATTGAAAACAATCAGTTTACTGGTGGGATTCCTGAGAAGTTTAAAAAGATAATGCAGTGAGTGTTTCAGTTTGAAAATTATTTTCTCATCCTTGAAAATTTGTAGAAAATAACTTTCTAACTGAATTTGTAATTTGTGATACAATTGTAGAAAATCTACCAGTAACACAGGGAGTTCAGAGCCTGCAACCCCTGCGAATAAATCCACTCAAAGTCACAAATCAGGAGGCAATGGCAATCCTTCCAGCGGTGGAGGTAAAAGTGATAGTGGTGAGAAATCTGGTATTAGTGGTGGAGGCGTTGCAGGCGTAGTGATATCAGTTTCAGTGGTTGGAGCAGTTGCAGTAATCTGTATTATCAAAAAAAGACGCAGGAAGTCGTCAACAGACATAGAAAAACTTGACGTTCAGCCATTTGTTCCTGAGACACATGAAGTACAAGGTATATAATCTTGTGACTTCTTTTTTGGGTCAGTTGAGAAACATAGCTGGTTACTTTACTGATATTTACTTCAATATCTCAACATATATACACTCTTATGGTGGATAGGATCCTTTCTTGCCATGTTATCTTATTTGAAATATAGAGCTGAATTTATTGTGGTACACAAAGGAGAGCTTTGGCGTAATTGGTAAAGTTACTTCCATGTGACCAGGTTCGAGCTGTGGAAACAACCTCTTGCAGAAATGCAGGGTAAGGTTGCCTACAATAGACCGTTGTGGTTTCACCCTTCCCTGTACCCCACATATAGCGGGAGCTTCACCAGGCTGTCCTATTGCAAATGTAGTTCTGTTTATATAAACACACTTTTAACTGTGGATGCAAGTTCCTGCAAAGGTACTGAATCACCTCAGGTGAATTGGAAAATTAGTTTTCCTTTTGAACTCATCATCCTTCATTTCATGTTCAAGTGACCATCTCTATAATGATGAATTATATTTCCCTTTTGCAGCTTCATCTGCAACTTGGTATCTCATACATCTTAAGCCTTACCTCAATCGTTTTAAGTTCTGTGGCGTCATTCCATCAGAGTTCCAGCTAACATTTGCCCTTTTCTAGTCACTAGTATTATTGTTTTTTAATCTTGTGTTAGTTTCTGAACCTGTATTTTTCTATTTATCACCTATTTTGGCTGCAGATACGAAACTCAGTCAAGCTCCATCCATAGCAAGCATGGAAGCTATTGAAACTCCCACTGTAGTGTCTCTAAGACCTCCCCCTATTAATACTCATAAATCCATTGGTGGAGATGAAATTTCAGAAAAACTCATTGTTCCACAGAAGAAAACTCGTACAGCTGAAAGAAAAGTTGTGCAATTTTCAATTGAAGACGTACAGATAGCTACTGACAGCTTCGGTTTAGAAAATCTTATTGGTGATGGATCTATTGGAAGTGTATATCGAGCTCACTTTGACAGTGGCAAAGTAATATCTATTAGTTCTATTTGTCGTTTAAACTATTTCTTGTTGCAGCTAACATTCCCTATGCTGATGTCAGTGATTCTGATTGTTTAAGTTCCTATTCCATAGGTTCTCGCTGTCAAGAAACTTTATTCATCTGAGCTCCGGAATCCTGAAGATTTTCTAAAGATGATTCCTGAAATATCCCAGCTGGATCATCCAAATGTAACAGAACTAATTGGTTATTGCTCAGAAGATGAGCAGCACCTGCTGGTTTATGAATTCCACAGAAATGGTTCTCTGCATGATTTTCTGCATCAGATGGATGAAGACAACTCGCAACTAACATGGGATAGTAGAGTTCAGATTGCACTTGGCACAGCAAGAGCACTAGAGTGAGTTTCATAATTTACAAACTTACTTTCATTAGGCATCACATAAGATTTTGATTCGGCATATATTATTTAAAGTTGTAGAACACCGGGTACGCTGGCGTTCCACTTCATCAAATCAGAATAATTTTCTATTTTTGGTGGCGACCTCTCCAATTCTTATGAGTAAATTTATTCTAGTAGCTAAAATCTAAGCTTCCTTTAATTTGCAGGTATCTACATGAAGCTTGTTCTCCATCTTTAGTTCATAAAAATATAAAATCTGAAAATATTTTACTTGATGCTGATCTCAATCCTCATCTATCAGACAGTGGGTTAGCAAACCTTATGGCTGATGTAGATCAGGTAACACTTATTAAATTTGTTCACATCAGTAACTTCTAAATGGCTTCAACTTTGACCCTTTATTTTTGCTCCCTATAGGGATTGAACCATAATATAGAGTCTGGATATGGCGCACCGGAGGCTGCTATATCTGGGAAGTGTACTACCAAGAGTGATGTATACAGCTTTGGAGTTGTTATGTTGGAACTTTGTACTGGTCGAAAACCTTTCGATAGGTAAATGTTAATTGAATGATTTTGAAACCAAAATCTGTTTAAGACAAATAATAATAATATATGTGTGTGTTTTCTCTTCTCCACTCAGCACAAGACCAAGATCTGAACAGTCTTTAGTTAGATGGGCAACCCCTCAGCTTCATGATATTGATGCCCTGGAAAAGATGGTTGATCCATCTCTCTCGGGATTATATTCTGTCAAATCTCTTTCCCGGTTTGCTGATGTTATTGCTCTCTGTGTTCAGGTAATGCTCTCGTTGTCTCAATTCATGTGACTAGACACGAGGTTTAAGATAGAAATAAAAACATTCGGAATATGTGAGTCTTAAACCTGACATAACTCAGTAGAGTAAAATGAGAAGTATTCTGTTCCTTTTATGCTGAAAGCTGCTACCTGCCATGTGTTCAATTTTCAATAAAGTACTCCCCTATGTCGCGCTCACTATCTCAATGGTTTGTGTCAGCTTGAGCCTGAGTTCCGGCCACCTATGTCTGAAGTGGTTCAAGTATTAGTCCGGCTAGTGCAACGAGCAAATATGAGCAAGAGGTTACACAATAATGATCAGGACTGAAGAGAAATACTCAAGACCTGCTGATTGTTACAAACAAATGGTTCTCTTGAACTGTTTGCTGCTATGGGACATCCTCTGATGCTGGTCAGCCCAGTAATTTCTTCGGTGCAGTTGTATTTGATTAAATACCATATGCTAAAATATAATTCCTTCACAATATATATATTATACATAAATTATATATACATGAATGGTTACCAGCATTTGTACTCTGTTACAAGATGTTAGCAACGACAGGTTAATTGCCTTCTAACAGAAAAACACAGCATGACTCTTGATAAAGAGGCTCTTAACTGCATGTTATCTATACTGCTTTTTAAAACTACCAGTTCTGCATCTATCTTCCAGCAAAGGTTCATTCATGCTACGCAATTACGACACTACTAAGAATGCATAAGAAACTTTAAGCGTCTAACTGAGTGAACACCTGGGAACCTGGGAAAATAGTGTTGCTTGCAATATTGATGAAGGCAAACACAAGATCAAAAGAAGTAAGGCAGCAGATTAGGACACAGCTATCGCTTGCTGTTAGTATGACAATAAGAGTCCTACTTTGCCAATCAGATACCTACCTTGACAAACACAAGCGCTGACAGCAGAAACCGACATAACAGAAATGAAATTGAATTAAAATAAGTAAAGAGGGAGAGCTATCTTAGATTTTAACTCAAAACACCAAGTCATCAGGCATTATACAACGCAGAAGTTGGTCCTGCATCTTTGTTGGCAGCAAACAGGAGCACTAAAGATGAACAAACAGGTAATAAAATCTTAGTGGACAGCATGAATCATCAAATTGAGTACACGGGGTAACTAAATGGCAAATAGCAATGTCACTTCATTCCTGCCAATGCTTGATTGTTTGTACCAAAGAAAATGTAGTACAACTAATTGTAGACCATATACTTTGGTGTTGCACTGAATTTCTGATATCCCTTAATGACCTTGTTAACGGCATCCAGAAAGTCTTTCTCTGTAACAGTTTTCCTCCTTGCTCGAATAGCATACATTCCAGCCTCCGTGCACACACTTCTTATATCAGCTCCTGGAATAAACCAAATCAATGAAAAGGTCAAAAGTGAGCCCCTAACTGTCGTATTTGTACATCTCATTACTACAATAGTTGAAAATTTAAGTGATGCATATAGGTGAAATTATATTTGTTCAAAAATATATACAAGTGAACTCATCACTTCTCTTTACATGAAAGTAAACCTTCTCTAGACCTCCATAAATGCCATAAAGTCGGAAAAGCAGCTAACTTATTGCTAAATTCACTCTTTAATGCATCAAACTCAATTAAAATATCAACCTCTTCCAAAATTCTCCTCTAGGACCAGCAACCTTAACCTTGGCTGGTCAATGGACAAGCTCAAGGAGATCTCATTCTGTAAATACTCACCTTACGATTCCTATTGATATAAGTTGCAGGAAAAAATCCTATTAATATAAACCCAATCCAACATTGTGGGTACCAAACCAAGTTATCTAAGTCCTCCGACCACAGTATGTATGAACAACACCAACAAGGCAACAACAGCATACCCAGTGTAGTCTTACAAAGTGGAGTTTGGGGAGGGTAGAGTGCAAACAAACCTTATCCTACCTCAGAGTCAAGGGTACTATTTGCGATAGACCCTTGGCTCGAGGACACCACATTATGTATGTAAACCCATTATTCATTTCAACAGAACAGTTCAAGATTACATTAATGGACTGCCCAAGAACACTTGGAAGGTTTTTTTGTGGAAATCTTTTACATATTCAAGTTCTATCAAGAATCAAGAACAGTCCATGACATGAAAGTTTAAACAAAGGTAAGTTAATCCAGAATGTAACAAGAAAATTTGGAATGCGACTTATAATGTGTCTTTGCTGTTGTACTTTTGCACAACATACAAGCTCAGGTACCCAAGCAACTCTTGATTGAAACTACCAAGGACTATACTCCATTATATTCCTTCCTCTCAGTTTGCCTCAGCACGACAATTAAGACAAAAGGTTTCATTTGTACATTGTGTTGGTTTCAATGAGGAAACTTGTAAATAGAATCGAAATGTTGCCAAATTATGTTTGGTAAATAATACATCAGGGTGTGAATTTAAATTCTTGAAAGTTGTGAAAGCATGTAGAACTTCCCCTTCTAGAAAATCATTATACATTTTGGGCAGACTTAAAAGGGAGGGCATTATAATTAGGAGAAAGAGCTCTTTAATAGAACATTATGCACAAGATCAAATACAAAATTGATGTTTAATATCCAACTTCTGAGGCAATATACATGAATCATTCTATTATATGGCAATGCATATGAGATTACCTGTAGAGTTTGGACAGAGACGTGCCAAAAGTTCAAATCGAATATCGCGCTCACAATTCATTGTCCGTGTATGAATCTTAAATATCTGGGTTCTACTCTCTAGATCAGGTAGACCAAACTCAACTTTGCGATCCAAACGTCCAGGACGTAGCAATGCTGGATCAAGTGTATCAGGCCTGCAAACAAAATAAAATGCATTACAGTAGTTAGCCACCTAATACAACAGCCATGGATAACCCCCAGTTTGAAGAACTCAGTTATCAAGCTGCAAACAAATCACCAAAAGTTATCCCAGCAAACACAACCCACAAGAGAGACTACTGGGACAAAAAGCTAAAACAAATAGAGAACACTAACCTATTGGTGGCCATGAGAACCTTTATATTCCCCCGAGCATCAAATCCATCTAGTTGGTTAACAATTTCAAGCATGGTACGCTGAACCTCATTGTCTCCACCTACACCATCATCAAATCGTGCACCTCCAATGGCGTCTACTTCATCGAAAAAAACAATGCACGCCTTCTTAGAGCGCGCCATCTGCCATACTTAAACGCTAGTCAGCAATCAAACTAAAACAACTTGCTAAGGAAGTTAACAACATGGTTACTTCTGACCTGGAACAGTTCACGAACCATCCTAGCTCCCTCACCAACATATTTCTGAACAAGCTCACTGCCAATAACACGAATAAAGCATGCATCTGTTCGATTTGCCACTGCTCTAGCAAGCAGGGTTTTCCCAGTACCAGGAGGCCCATAGCAGAGAACACCCTTTGGGGGATCAATTCCAAGTTTCACAAACTTTTCAGGGTGAAGCATGGGCAACTCAACAACCTGCATTTAAAAGCAAAGGTTTCATTATGCAGGCAAACATACCAATCAAGTTATATAATACCGTGAATTCTAAATAGAACAAGGTCAGAGCTGGACAGACAATAGATAACATAGTATACAATCATGAATACCTCTCGCATCTTTTCAATCTGTTCCTTGCATCCACCAACATCATTATATGTCACATCAGGCTTTTCCTCAACAGTCATCATGGTAACACTAGGATCAATTTTGGGAGGCAAAGGAATTTGAATCTGATATTTATTCCGGTCAACCCTGCAACAAAACAATATGGTCAGAGAGACTGACAATATTTGGTAAAGCAGAAGCCTTGGCTAGTTCATTACTGTTATATACAAAACTAGATTTTCCCACTAAAGCTTCTTTGTTCCACCTATAAAGCATGAGAATGCCGAATGCTAGGTATCCCCAATACTGAAAGAAATCTAAGCAATTCAACTCCATCCACAAGGACATGAAGTGAATCTTCCACATAATCATCCCCAATGAAGCAATCGATAACTAGTACGTTCAAATCCTCACAAGTTCTCAGTAAGATCACTATGTTCTAGGAGATCCTTATGTTGCAGTAACCCACTTCCTTTGACAAACACACACTTGTGCAACATGACATATGACTCTAAAATACAGCTACCAGAAGACAATACAGTTACACAGTTAACTTCCTTCGCTTTAGAATACCACTTCAGGAGATTTGTTCCTTTTGCGATTTATGAGTCTATTGAGAGAGAGAAAGAGAAGAATAAGAATATACCCGACTCGCATGCCTTCTTCTATATCAGTTGGTGAAACTTTGTCACCTAATCCAACAACAAACTGCGGGAATAATATGAGCATAGTCAAATAAAAGGGTGATCAGAGTCCTTTCATTAAAGAGTGAATCCAAAAGAAAATGTTGCAAACTTCTGTGATAACTAAAAACATATACCCAACCCCAAAGAAGGGTAAAACCTTTCAGGCTGAAGATATAATAACCCTTAAAAGATCCCTTATCAAAAAACACATGGAAACTGTCCATAATATCAATATATTTTCTTGGAAGATGGATTTAAAAAAACAAATGTTTTACTACTCTCATGATAACAGGAATTTTCACATGCTTAAATTGAACCTCAAAATTATCAAAGCTTCACACCGTCTTATGTCTTGTGAAGGAAAAAAATCGCATCCGTTATTGCTCAGATATAGATTTTGATTCTCCAGTTTTAACAGTAAACCTGGCTTCCCAGGCACCCTCCTTCGAGATACCCATACATTCACCAATACAGGTGTTACTAGAATATAGAACAGAACAAAATACTATGTTGGAAATACATGATGCATACCTTTGCAATTTGCTTGACGTTTATCACGTATTTTGCATCTTCAGTGTTGGGGCTAATTATCTTTGTACACCTAGCAACCTGCTCCAAAAAAATTCAATTAATACTTCAATGTACCTGAGTAATAAAACAGCAACAGATCTGTATTCAATGAAACACACCTGAAGAGGTTGCTCCTCCTGCATCATCTGTTTATCAGAAACCAGATCCCATTGACTTGGTGCAGCTAACCCAGTGTCAGACTCCTTAATACCTATGGTAAATTATTTAAGATGTAGTTCACAAGAATGTGCAACAAAGAAACACAAGGTTTGAATAGAACAAAATGAAGTCCCATTACATAATCAAATACAAAATCAACAAGAGACATAACAAAAATACCGCATAAATCATTTATCTTTTTGGCCATATCCTTGATTTCCTTTTCGGCTTTCTTTATGCTGGTCGAATAAGGTCCCAGACCCTGCAAAAATCATTATATTTTGTTGATAGGTAGTGAGAATAATTTATAAATTGTGAACTTTCACTGAACCAGCACTACAAAATATAATTACAAGTTCGGCAATTCCCAAATATCTTGCATTTCATCTACATCATGTAGAAGGATCATTGTACAAAAAGGCTAGCAAGGAGGAGGGATGTGTGACTTAGGCCTAGAGTAACACATGTGCACCTCTCACTGACTCAATCTTACAACTGAATAGTATCTCAAAAAAGAAAAAACATAAATATGCATACTTCTTCTAATTTATTACCCTCGTAACGTAGTTCAAATAGCAAAGAT